ACATCTTGATGGGTTGGAAATAGCGGGACATGGCTCATAAAGTGAGGCCCAGCCCATTAATCTGAATCTAATGCGCCGAACTTTAAACCGCTGAACACGTTCGGAGTAAACGAAAATCTGAAAACTCTTCTTGTTCGCTCCATCTCCTCACAATCCCCGACGACGACGACGACAACCGGAATCCCCACAATCCTAAACCTTGAACCCATAATTACCTTCCGTTTTCCGATCACATTATCCAATCGTTTCATTTTTTACACTCATCAGATCAATTTTTCAACGGTTCGATTCCTCCCCCTGATGTGATCATATCATCTGAGCACCGGCAGTCTCTTCAGTTTGCTCGTCGCCGGTGAGTTTGAAATGGGAATCACTTCGTTTTTTTTTTTTTTTTAATTTCTCCTTTCCGTTATTTTTGTTTTCAAATTTAGGCAAATTAGTGTTCATGTTTCTGTTTTATTTTTATTGTCATCAATTGAACCAGATGTTGATATTAATCATTGTTTGAAAAATCAGGTTTTAGTGATTTCTTGGCGTATTAGCTCCTTATTTTACTCGTGAAATTCTCAAATCAGTGCCCTTCCCACAGGCATTGTTGGGTATGGAATGGAAGTGTGAATGTATTAAAGCTGTATGTTCTGAGACTCTGTCTATGGGTGTGATTAAGAAAATTCAGTGCTGCTTTTGGGTATCTTGTTTGCAATGCATTTATTAGATGCAAAGTGCACAGTATGAAAGTGGTTATTGATCTGACCCAATCAATCACTTTGGACAGACTTTGTTGGGAACTTTTACGATCAAAAGCTTAGCTTGTTTTTTTAGCTCTTTATCTGTTTGAGGAGATTTCCCATCTCTATTTTGTGGTTGGGGTGTGTTGATGCTCTGCAATTCCCATATGTTCTTATCTTTTTTAAATTCTTTTCAGTGAATTTTACTTTTTTTTAACATTGTTACGTGAAGTATTTAATTGGCAGTACCATGTTTTTGAATCAATGGACTTTTAAGAGTCTGAATTTCTCAGCTACTTTAATAATGAAGCGAAAATAGGACAAAGACAAGAGAGACCCACAATGAAAGATTAGTGTTACAAAAATAACCCCAGTAGGCGGTAGCCTTTGGGTTCCTTCTGGCATATATGGTATATGGTTGCTCAAGGATTTCTTTTCCTTGACAAGATTTGATTACCTGGTGTTAGTCTTCAGGT